ACAAGCACCAATCTTCGCGGCATGAGTAGAAATAGCCAAGCTCATGGCTTTATGGGTCTCATGGAGTCATGGTCATGGATTCAAGATCTACAATCCTTATATAGGCCATTTTTTTCATTTGAGAAAGTTTGAACAAAATGTAGTTCAAATTTCACAAGTGTGTGACATAGTTTTAGAAAATCTATATGAAATTCTAGAATTTGTGACTAGTGTTTGATAAAACTTTCTCAAATGGGAAAATGAGCTATGTAACAATTGTATATCTTGCTGAGATGATCAAACTTGGTATTCAGAGTTTTTTCATCTGAGGTCATTTAGTGTCTCATTTGAGCAAGTTTGACCAAGTCAAATTTGGTCAAATGAAAAAAAAACACTTTGACTCTAGTATTATGAACTCTAAATGACTTTAAATTGAAAAGTTTTGAATACCAAGTTTGTTCAACTCATCAATATCTATAATTCTTTTTTTGGTCAACTTTCCATTTGAGATAGTTTGGACGGTTCAAATTTGTGATTTTTAAATTTTGACGTTTACAAACTAGTTTTCGGAACCATAGATTGTCTCAAATTGAAAAGTTTTGAATACCAAGTTTGTTCATCTCATCAAGATCTACAATCCTTATATAGGACATTTTTTCATTTGAGAAAGTTTGAACAAAATATAATTCAAATTTCACAAGTGTGTGACATAGTTTTAGAAAGTCTATATGAGATTCAAGAATTTGTTACTAGTGTTTGATAAAACTTTCTCAAATGAGAAAATGAGCTATGTAACAATTGTTGATATTGCTGAGATGATCAAACTTGGTATTCAGAGTTTTTTCATCTGAGGTCATTTAGTGTCTCATTTGAGCAAGTTTGACCAAGTTAAATTTGGTCAAATGAAAAAACAATACTTTGACTCTAGTATTATGAACTCTAAATGACTTGAAATTGAAAAGTTTTGAATACCAAGTTTGTTCAACTCATCAAGATCTACAATTGTTGTTTTGGTCAACTTTCCATTTGAGATAGTTTGGATGGTTCAAATTTATGATTTTTAAATTTTGACGCCTATAAACTAGTTTTCCATTTGAGAAAGTTTGGACGGTTTAAATTTTGAAGCACTAAATGATTTCAAACGAAAAAGTTGTAAACAACAAAGTTTCATAACTTTTTGAGATCTACAATTTTTATTTTGATCATTTCTCCATCCAAGGTCGTTTGAATAATATCCGGATAATATCCATTTGAAAATATCCGGATATATCCGATACTTAACTGGATTATCCGATATCCGCCGGATATCGATGATATTACATCCGTATTTGATATCCGCCTAAGATATCCGTTTTATTATCCGTATCCGAAAAAAATTACGGATATCCGAGTAACTATTCATATAAGTGTTCATATTTGTTCGGTCGAACGGACGATCGAATAAATATCCGTACCGTTTTCATCCATAAACACGATGCTAGCTTTTCTGGGTGTGTGGGAATCTGTGTGAAATCACATCATAACACATCTTTCGGTTCGTGTCGTGCAACAGTGAAACGTCTTTCGATCTCCTAGTAGCTAGTGATTCGACGTGTGCTAGCAGAGCAGCTGCGTGATGCTCCCTCCTTGCTTTTATTTGGACTGAATCATCAGGTTTCCATTGTTTCTTTTTTCCTGATAGATGTCCCCGATAAGACAAGAGCAAGACTGTGTTAGGCGGTGTTTAAAATTTAGGACGTGTATCAAGAGAATGTGGTATGATATGTTTGAATATTAATAAAATAAATAAATTATATAATCCGTCAGTACTCCACGAGACGAATTTTTTAAGCTTAATTAATCTGTTATTAGCACATGGTAGTGTAGCATCACATTGTCAAATCATGGACTAATTAGGCTTAAAAGATTCGTCTCGTAAATTAGTCGTAAACTATGTAATTAATTTCGTAATTAGTCTATATTTAATACTTCATGCACGTGTCTAAATATTTGATGGGATAACGACTAAAATTTAGGAGGGACAACCAAACACCATCTTAGTTTAGGCACTTGTATCTGTCCCTTCCCTTGAGATTTGTGATTTATCATGGTGTTAGCTAGTGTTTATGATTTTGTGATCCACTTGTGTTTTGCGTCTTTCATCAGCATGTCTTTTCCACATGTGTTCACCACTGCATTTGGTCTGCGAAAGTATGAGCCTGCATGCCGGCCTTGGTTTTCCTGTGATTTGAAAAGGGACGTCCTTTCTTTTTCATTGGCACATGCAAGGGACGATCCCTAGTATTTTTCTGAATACTGCTGCGAAACTGTATGCTTCCTGTCCGTAAGTGTTTAACTGCTAGTGATTGACCTAGCTAATTGTTTCAGAACAATAGACTTGATATGTGGTATCTCTGTGTGAATCTTGAAGAAGTGCCAAATGCCAATCTCTAAAAACTGAGTAACAATAATCTTTTGTTGGTATCATATGTGTTTATATTTCTTTCGTAAGTATATCTTTTGTGATATTCAGTATGCAGTTCCTCAATAAAACTGTTTAAAATTATTTATTATGAATTAGTAATTCAGCCAGTTCGCTTGTTGGTTTCAGCCAGCCCAAACCAGCCAGCCAACAGTATTTTCCTCTCAAAAAAACCAGCACCAGCCAGCCCAAACCAGCACCAGCACCAACCAGCGAACAGGCCCATTATCATTACAAATTCAAGATTTTGGTTATTATTACTTACTTCTAATTGTCGCTATATAAATTATGTATACTTGTGTAGCATCTTTGGCCTCATCTAGCTAGTCAGTATTCTTGCGATTTTTTTTTCTCGAACGTGCCTCAGGCACGGTGTTCATTAAGCAGGAGAAAATAGTTTACTCGAAATTACAAATAAACGTCATGGTAATCCATCAATTATCAAAGCACAGCGACTCATGGACACCAAACAAATTTAATTTACATACTACTATGCTTAACCTACGAGGACTACATCAATATTATCAAAGATAGGGATTGATAGGAGTTACTTTTATCCCCACTGCTCGGCCCCGCCCAAGGTCGAGCAAGCCAGACCATTCGTATCATTAGAAACTCCATCAAAAAAGTGTGCGAGTTCATCTCCTTCTAGAGTCTCCAGCCAGCTAGCACACGTCGAATCACTAGCTACTAGTTGCATGCAAAGTTCCAAAGCAAACAGGAGATCGAAAGACGTTTCGCTGTTGCACGACACGAACCGAAAGATGTGTTATGATGTGATTCCACGTATATTCCCACACACCCAGAAAAGCTAGCATCGTGTTCAGTCCCCGGCTTTATTTAGTTGGCGATTTTTTTTGAAAATAATACTGTAGCACTTTTGTTGTTATTTGGTAATTAGTGTTCAATTATAATTTAATTAGACTTAAAAGATTCGTCTCATGAATTTCGTCTAAACTGTGTAATTAGTTTTATTTTTTATTTATATTTAATGCTTCATACATGCGTTAAAAATTCGAGGTGACGAAAAATCTTGAAAAAATTTATAAAATTTTGGAAACTAAACAGCCACCTAGTCCACGACAGTGCACACCATCTTCTTCCACATCACAGAAAGACAGCAGAAACATGTGATCCGTGGCGCGGTAGGCTCTGTCACATCAGCTGTCAGCGAATTCGATCGTTGTCACGTCAGTCCGCTGTCACGCTATCCGATCGTTGTCACGTTAGTCCGCTGTCACGCCATCCGATCGTTGTCACATCAGTCCGCGTCAGTCCGCTGTCACGCCATCCGATCGTTGTCACGTCAGTCCGCTGTCACGCCATCCGATCGTTGTCACGTCAGTCCGCTGTCACGCCATCCGATCGTTGTCACGTCAGTTCGCTGTCACGCCATCACGCATGACGTGTCACAAGCATTTGGCTACGTCAGGGCAATAGACGTGGCCAAAAGTGTTAGTTTAAAAAAAATAGTGTTAGATTTAAAATTAGTTTTCAAAAAGTGTTAAAATTAAAAAAAAAATCCATTCTGGTCGACCAAGGTTTAGCAGCACTTGGGTTTTTCTTGCGCTTTACTCTTGGCATTAATTAGTAGTAGGCGCTCCACGACTTGATATATATATATAAACCTAATGCCCAGTCTTGGTCAACTCCGCCTTCTTGTCCCAATAATGCACCACCATACTGCTTACTGGCGTACGTGCACGGCTTTGGTCCCGTTCGTGTACTCTTAAATCTGGCTTTCTTTTTTTTTATTTAAAATTATATTTTTCTCTCACAAATTCTTTCAGCATTTTTTCAAATCATCCAAATTTCTTCAGAATTCCTTCGAGCAAACAGACCCTTTGATGTTTCGAGCCCAGTTTTTTTTCCATTTTTTTTTATGAAAGTTAGAAAAGTCCAGTTGCATTTCTTAAAGCCATCTTGCACATTTGATCCATTCTGGTCAACTAAGGTTTAGCGGAACTTGGGAGTGGCTAAGGCTGGATGGGCGGATAAATCTTAGTACTGACCTACGTCTCTCGCTCTCTCTCTCTAGCTCTCTCTCTCGGTTGAAACAAAGATAATTGTCGGCAATCTGACCGATGAGCCAGCCCTTGTGTCCATCCGTTTTTGTAGAAATACAATAGCTCTTTGGCTCGTGGTGGATCGGAATCTTACAAAGCTTTGTCGATAGGGTAATAATCTCTCAACACCTTGCGCGCACTTCCTCACCCTGTTAATGCGCTGATTAATCCTGTCTCAAAGTCTAGCTAGATTTTCTCCTGGAGAGTTGTTTGGGTTACATTCTTTTCTTGCAAATGAAGAAACTGTCTCTCTCCTTCAGATATTTGTTAGTTTACATGTTTTGTCGCTGCTGAGGGATGAAGTGCATCCGCTCTCTCAGAGATTTGTTAGCTTACAATGTTTGGCTTATACCTTTTGATCTTATTTTTGCCTGTCCCACAATTTAAAGTAGCCCAGATACAATAACACGATTTTTCCATTGTTATTGTTAGATCGTTGGAGGTGGAAGAGTGAGTGTCTTCGGCCAATTCTAATCCAAGTGTAGTACTCCCTGATGGACATTTACCAAGACGATAATTATGTTAACCTAGTGAGAGCGTTAGATGATGAAAACGTGGGTCCAATAGGCCTACCTTTCTTCATTTTGAAGGCCATCACAGCAGGTTTCTCTGATAACCAACTAATTGGCAGGGGTGGGTTTGGAGCTGTTTACAAGGTATGTGTGCAATTAAGCTGGCTACTTTGCACTCATGCAATGGTCACAACTTCTCTTACGTATATATATATGTCATGAACTGCAGGGAGCGCTTCAAAACAATGTAGTGGTCGCCGTGAAAAAACTTCATGACATAATTGAGATTCTAGAGGAGAATTTCCAACGTGAGGTTGCTTGTCTAGTAGAGGTGAAGCACAAAAACATAGTGCGGTTTCTGGGGTACTGTTCTGAGACGCAAGAAGTTTGGGTGCCGCATGAAGGAAAATATTCTTGGGCCAACGTTCGTCAAAGGTTGTTTTGCTTTGAATACCTAAAAAAAGGGAGCCTTGCCAAGTATATTACTGGTAAGATCATCAGTCATATAACAAAGCATTTTTACATAGCATATTTTTAAAAATTCTATACACTTTCAAGGCTAAAGGGAAGATTTAACCTCTGCGGTATGTCTTTTACAGAGAGGATGCATTCATCAGCCGTCATCTCTCTTTGTACTAGCTATTCTGTTTTTGTGTAGTTTTTCTGGGTACATTGGATTGTTATGTTTTGCCAACCAATCTTGCTCAAAGGGATTAGTAGTGCACTAGCAAAAGAATATCAAAGAGACATAATAACAACAACAACAACAGCAACAACAAAGCCTTTAAGTCCCAAACAAGTTGGGGTAGGCTAGAGTTGAAACTCAGCGGAAACAATCAAGGTTCAGGCACGTGAATAGTTGTTTTTCAAGCACTCCTATTTAAGGCTAAGTCTTTGGGTATATTTCATCATTTTAAGTCTCATTTTATTGCCTCTAACCAAGTCAACTTCGGTCTTCCTCTGCCTCTCTTCACGTTACTATCATGGCTTAAGATTTCACTACGCACCGGTGCCTCTGAAGGTCACAAGACCAATGTTTATTTTATTATTGTGGAACCGTAGGCAAAGCACATATGATTGTCAGTAATAACTCTGGACATGAAGGACCAAAAAAGACGACCAGAGGGGAGAGGGTGAATGGGAGCCAATCCAAAATTTCTTCCAAAATGGTCACTGTCCCAAAATCACCCTTCGAAACACCAAACCTCTCAACACTGATGCTCTCGAGCCAACTGGTGGCTAGATATTCTCAGCGATGACCGAAGAATACAGAGGGACACTCACCAAAACAAAAAAAAAATAAGCACAAATCCAAAACCCAAAACAGAGCTCTCCACTTCAATCATAATGAAGCAAGACTTCGTCTCAAAATCCCCTAAGTCAACTGGTGACTTAAGGACTGAGAAAGCTTCCTAGGCACGAACAGAAACTCACGGAACTGATGGGACGCGAAACGGAGTAACGAAACTCACAAAACACGCAAAGCACCACAACTGCTAAAGCCAAACCAATGACTTGGCCAGTTGAGAATTCGGTTTGGCTAGTTCTAAGGGTGCCAAGCTGCCGAAGGCCGCTAGGAAGGCAGCTTGGCTGGCTGGCCCTAGCTGGCAGCCCGTGGAAGCGGCCAGCCTAGCCGGCTGTAGCCCGGCGGCTTGGCCGGCTACACAGCTCTCATGGCCGGCTGAGGGAGGATGAAATACTTAGGTGTGTTAGGTGATATCCCAAAGAATCAAGCCCCACGTCAAAAAAAAAAAAAAAAAAAAAGAATCAAGCCCCACAAACCTCGAAAACACTGTAAATCTGAATATCCATCAAAGGAGTTGGGGTTTTCTCAAGAAATCCTCCCAATGGTGAAAATTGTGCTTGTGGTGATTCTACTCGATCCACTTATTAGCAGAGATGTTCACAAAGTGTCCTTGCAGGAACTCAACCAACCAAAACAACCCCAAAACCTCACGAACTCAAGATCGAGCAAAACATAGAAGAGGGGGGAGAGAAGGGAAAAACAAATTCAAATCATATGAGAACTTACTCAGATCTTAGAGAACATGATTGCTTTATTTCCAAGATCTGTCAGGTCTGGTTCTTACAAAGGAATAATTAAACATAGACAGAGTATCAATCTCAAACATTGTGAATCTCAACAACAGAAAACTAGGAAACTAGAGACTAAGAAGCCTCGGAAATGACAACCGGAGAGATGGGCTGATTAGGAGCAACCATCTCTTATTTGTAGAGCTATTACACAATTCCTAACCTTCCCTTAGATATTTATGTTGAACCGCTTAACCCCACGGACGAAATGGTCCATCTCTTGATTGGTGCATCTAACGACCACGAGCTCTTCACGCCTTTGCTTAGCATAGACGCAAGCTTTGGGATGACGCCACGTGCCACCTCCCGTCCACCTCGGAATTCCAACTAGGTTCTGAGGCCCAAACCTGAAAACCGTCCGCCGGTAGTTGAGGCCCAAACCACCAAACCCCTTGGAGAAGCGTATGTGCTACGCCTCCTCTAAGATCTTGACATGTGTCACCGTCGTCCTCGACCGCCCGATCACCAAGTCGTCTTGCGCCTCCGCTTGACTTGGTCAACCGCCATCCTGAGTTGGTCAACATGGTCCACTACTTCTCATGTGATCTTGCTTGTTGATGTCTCCAAGTGTTAGCCACCCACGGTCAGTCTTCTGGCCATCTTGGTCCATCGTTCTAAGCCTCACGTCTGTTCCTTCATCACTCTCAATCCATTAACATGGCACGTCTCTACTTGACCTTCTCCATGCCCGTCGTCCGTCTCTGTGCTCTACACCTGCACAGCAGCACAGCCAAGAGACATGTTGCACACACACTCATGACATGGGCCCATAGTTAGTCTCCAAACTCAACAAAAGTCGATCATCTCCTGCCAATCACTCATCACAACTCGACACACAAGGACACGTATCAACCTTGTGTTCGCAGACACCCTACCAATTTTGTCAAGATAATATGCTTTTGCATAGTAATCTGCAAACAAAGTAGCCATTGAAATTCTTAGTGAGAAACTTGTGCTAGTATATTGTATATATTTCCTTATCACGCAATCAACCAGATTGGATATTTCTGATTCTGTTGTACTGCCGATCCGATGGCATAATAAGAACTCATGCATTGTTGTATTGTGTATACTCTTGACAGAGCCATCTTCTGGACTTCAGTGGAGGATGCGCTATCAAATAATTAAGGGGATTTGTGAGGGTGTGCGTTATCTTCACCAGAAAAGTATTATTCACATGGATCTCAAACCTGAAAATATACTACTGGATGATAGCTTGGTGCCTAAGATTGCAGATTTTGGTATATCAAGGCGCTTCAGTGAAAACAAAAGCAGGACTATTACTGAAAACAGAGTTGGGTCGTGGTAGGTTACCTAATTCTATTTGAGAGGTCCATTTTTTTTGTTAGTTAACAACCAGCTCTATTGCCAACCTGTTTTTTTGTAAGGGACATTACATACCTGGTTAATTATGTATCACACACTACATGAATTTTTCATTTAGGGGATATATGGCACCCGAATTTTTAAGAGATGGAACAATCACATTGAAGATAGACATATATAGTCTGGGTGTTATTATCATGGAGATTCTGATGGGGTGTAGGGAATACCCTAATGTTGACGAGGTAATAATCATTTATATCACTGTTTCAAGATAATGGCTACATTCTTTTAAATTCTACTAGTAACTTTTTTGGTGCTATATTATTCATCACAGCGCTAGCACGCAGTTTCCGAATCCACATCATCTATATGCTGTTCGGCTGCTGGTTTTGGCAGCACTATATTTTGGTTCCCTATTTTAAGAGGCTGTGTGCCGCCATGATATAACTCTTAACGAAGTTCAATTGTGAAATTCATAGGTGCTGGAAAGTTGGGCGAATACATTTCAGACAACAGAGAGCCACGTACTACTAGAACAAGTAAAAGTATGTGCTGAGATAGGGATAAACTGCCGGCACGATGACCCAAGCAAAAGGCCTGCTATAGAGGATATTATCTGCAGGCTTGTTGAAACGGATATTTCGTACTCCTGCTCCATTGTTAGAAGTGTTGCAAGCACTTCATCATCATCGGCAGGGCAGGTATGACTAACTACAGTAAACAATTTTGAGAACTGCCACTGCAATGCACCTTTGGCCTCATTAAAAACTCTGGGCCATAACGCATTCTTCTCTTTTTCAGCACTGCCTCCTGCATGTTTCAAGTTTTTTTAGTGTGCAATATAATTACATTCCGTTGCTGATGCACTTTTGCAAGGCGGTTTAACAACTTTAATTGACATTATGAATAATTCTTGTTTTGCCTTATTAAAAAAACCTATAATGCACTATACATGCAAATACATGTAGTATTTCCTACGTCCCAAAATAAATCAACTTCTAGAGTCAAACATTGTTAAGCTTCTAACTTCAGAGAGAAGAGTATCAATATCTATGGCACCAATAAACAAGTACAATAAAAACATTTTTGATGTCATGTCTAATGATACTAGTTTCGGGTATGAATATTGACGCCATCTTCTATAAATTCAGTCAAACTTACAAAAAAAGTTGGCTTCATATAATTTTAGGAGTTTATTTATTTGAGGAAGGAAGGAGTAGATGTTGAGACATACGAAGATGAAATGCCATGGTTACTTAATAATCTTGTTCAATTCATGGGTGGACATATATAAGAGTCATTCAAGTGGCTTGTTCCCAATTATTTGAGACAATCCATAAATAATTACTTGGACAATAATGGATACATTAAGTATACACGGTCTTTTCTCTCCAAAAGAACATTTTAATTTTATGGACAAAAATCAACTTTATTTTTAAAAAATTACGGTGACACAGAGATGTATGCACTAACCCGTAATGGGAAACGTGAACAATTGACTTTAGGGTCTGTTTGAAATTTCTAGTCTTCTACTAATTTCATATTATGGGTCTGTTTGGTAGAGCTCCACTAACCAGTTTGGATATCTCATCGTAGCTCCTTGATTCTCTTTATTTGGTGGAGTGATTCCAATTTATTCTGGTGGGGAGAATCCTCTCCGACCAGCTCTAACAAACGGACGTTTACACTTCACCCACACTTGTCTGTGTGGAACATGAGTGCGACATTCTTATGTTATTTAATTCAACATATTTGACCTTGGGGCTTCTGGCTATGATACTAGTTGATGAGTTCAAACGAAAAACTTAACCGGACGGTGAAAATGGATAATTTACTAATACTTTAGTAGGAGGGAAGAATGGTTTCCTTTCTTATTGTTGATATTTTTTCATCCCAATGAAAAAGTTCTTTTTTTCTTGAATACACAAGAGATCTGCGTATCATTGCATTATAGAGAGAAAAGGATCAGCCCGTTATAAGCACCACCACCTCACTCTTGGCCGGGCTACGAGGGGTTATATCTTTACATCGAATCACTTTAACTAAAGGAACTGAGAAAGATGTGAGACCTAACCACAAAGAACACCAACCAAATAAACCAATGTAATCTATCCGAGCCCAACATCGTGACCCAGGCCTAGCGTGCGCAAGCCACGCGCTCCAGCCAAGTACCAAAGCTGATATTCGTCTCTGAACTATGCGGGGGTGAGACCCTTCAGAAACACAAGCATTTATGTGCTTCCAAAGAATCCAGGAACCTAGAATGATCATTGTGTTCAGCCCCTTCTTCTTCTCCTTTGGAATTCTCTTGGTTGCTTTTAGCGACTTATCAGCGAATGATTTCTCTCGCCTTGTGGGAGTCCGATCTTGGAGTCCCAAAGGAGACAGGATCCTTGACCAAAATTCTCGAGCAAGGACACATGTAGTAAGCAGATGCGACCGTCTCATCTTCCTGATCACACAAGGGACAGTGAGTCGGGCGAGGTAATCCTCTCTTGGCCAAACGGTCCACCATCCAGCACCTGTTTTGGATTGCTAGCCATAAAAATAATTTGCACTGTGCTGGTGCCCAGAATTTCCGTAGACGTCGCCAAGGCGCAAAGGGATGGAGCCATTGAAGAATGCGCGATATGCAGATTTTGAGGTAAACTGGCCTGACCCTTCTAGCCTCAAACATGGACATCGTCATCCTGAGAGAGGATTGCCTCGTGCAATATATCCCATAATTAAAAATATTCAAAGAGACCCACCAATGAGAGACCCCCACTGATGTCAGCAGGCAAGCATGATCCTGTAAGGTGTCGGCCACCGTGTGCTGTTTGCGAGTGCGAGATGGGACTGCAGCAACCACCACTGGTGCCAAGTCCTCCAAACAGCAGCCCATGAGCCACTTATCCTCCCAAAATAAAGTATTTCTTCCATTGGTTCCATAGTGGCAGACGTGTCCTGATGGTCTTCCTAGAAGCAGTGCAGAGGCTGTATTAGTTGAAGCTGGGGCGGTGGCCTCTAGATCAGACCGAGTAGTGATCTACCTTTGCTTATTCATGTTCCTGGTCATGTTGTAAGGGACACAAGAGGGACTATGGCCATTAAAAGTTTCTAAAACATAGGGTTCAATTTCTTGATTTTAACACTAGAAAAACACAAACTATTTTAGCATTATATATGTGCATCTTGAGTTTTTCTAGAATGCTCTACCATATTACCCAAACCATAAAGAGTTTTGCAGCCTAAAACCAATCCTATCAACTAATCTATATATGCTAATTTAGATAAGTAGAAAACACACATAAAACAAGCACAATGTAGAAGCTAATTAAAAGCATAAGGTAAACAAGTTAAGAGAGAGCAAATTCCTAGAAACGAGAATAATGTATCCCATGGTATCAATAACTAAAGTGCAACCACTCGTCCACAAGCTTCACTAAGAATATGCTCTCGGTCATCAAACCTTCCTTCTGTTATAGTGTTGAGCTTGCCACCAAAGCCTCCACAACCAAGACAAGTGCCACAAGACATTAAGGTTCTCCACCGCCGCTTGACACTTTCGATCACCTCGCAAATGTCCATTACAGAATTTCTCCACCATGAAAGAGGTCTCTTTGTCTCCCGTACACGAAATTATTGCTGCAGCACACCAAGTTCAGAGGCTTGACATCGGGAGGCCACTAAGACCCTCACTGAAAGGTCATTAAAGCCCATATGTAAGGTGGTTTATTGAAGATGAGAGTAGCTACACCCAAGAGTAGAAAAATATAGGGAGCTAATATTTTGTACGCGCATACAGTGTGTACTGTCGCTATGCACATCCCTCTGTTCCCGCCTCCCAAGCGTGCCCCCGTGCTCTTTTTGTTTTGTTTTTTCTTAATTCTTTTGTCCCTCGTGTGCTCCCACTAAAACAAAAGCGACTGCAACTCTGTGTATTCATGAATTACGCTTTGATTTGTAATGCAGTTGCATCTAGCACTTATTTGATTATTTAATTTAATCTCACCCTTCAACAACCCACCTGACACAATGGGACACATGCATGCATGAAATCTTTCCAAGATTCAGATTTTAAAAATACAATATTATCTCCTAACCCATAAGTTTGATTCACTAACTGTTTGAAGATTATTGTTGGAAAAAATGAGATGAACAAAATGAGATCCATGTAATTTAAAAAAAACATTTTTATTCAAACAAGTAAAAAATGAAAGCTTGTAGTCGCACTTCATGTAATAGTTGTGTCGCAGGGTCGAAACCGCGGCAAGCATAGTTGTTCGAGTCGGTGTCAGAGTACGGGTCTCCGGTGGCTCAGGTGGACTCAAGAACACAAGAATCACACAGAGAAGACACAACAATTTATCCTGGTTCGGGTCAATTTGGTTCCTATATCCAACAGCTGATGATCCTTATACTCAAGAACACCCAAAATCGGGAAGGGGGTTACAACAGAGTGTAGAGAGAGATTTGGCAGGGGCTTAGCTTGGTGCTAATCCTAAGGTTGCCTCGCCACCGGTGGAGCCTTCCCTCTCGTCGGAGAGGAGGAAGACGACGGGATGGCGGAGGAGGAGCTCTCGGTGCCCCTCTCCAGATTGCCTTGCTCCCTGTGTGGAGCGGAGGCAGACGGAATGGAATGGAGTGTCTGGTGATCGATCTGGGATCCTCTCCCCTCCTAGGTCCAACATTATCTCTTATATAACGAGATAGGTCGGGTACATGGCGGTTTGGGGGATCTAATCTACGGTCTACGTGCGCCGGAGTCCAGGACGGTCTTGCAGCAGTGCGCCATGGACCGTGGCGGTGTCTTGGTGTCGAAGAAGCCTTGGACGTCGTCTGGCTGCTCTGTTCAGACACTTTGTGTGTCAGGCTGTGTCAGCTTGGACTGGCCTCCCCGGGTGGACCTTTCTGGAGTCTTCTTGGTGGCGAAGGAGGTCGGCTCCAAGGGCTGACGTGTGAACCCAGAGCCCTCATGCCCCCGGGAGACCGAGGGAAGGCTTTGTCTTCTTGTGTCATGCCCCGGCCATGACCCTATTGGGGGAGCAGTTGGTAAGGCCACGCCTGGGGAGCGACGCCATGGAGCCCCCGAGCATTGGTAGCCCGGAGCTTGTCTTCTTGCGCCCGGGCCTTGGCTGGCGTCGTCAGCCACGCAGGAGCCAAGGGACGGGTCCAGATGCACCGTAGATCGGGAGCCAAGCCCCCGGACCCCAAGTGGAGGTCGTGGCCAAGTCAGGCTTGGCCAGATCTCTTGGCCAGAGGGTGCGCGCGAGCATGTCCGATGGGCATAGCCCCCAAGCCCCTGGGCGATCCTGAAGGGGTCGGTCGGAGGTCTTCTTCGGTCGAATACCATTGGACCCGAGGCTTAACATACAAATATGTTAGGAACTCGTCAAGTTGCAACATGGATTACTAATCTCAGTTATAAATTGGTTTGGTGTGTAGTTATGAATAATATGGTATACAAAAATAACGCATAAACATCTGCACGTTGCACACAAAATAAAGTTGCAACATGGATGACTACTGAGTGAAAACTTGATTTAGTATGTAGTTGTAAATACCATGTTATGCAAAAAAACAACACATAAATGACTATACAGTGCACACAAAATATAGTTGTAACATAAACTACTAGTCAACTACAACTTGCTTTATCGTATAGTTGTACTAGAAAATACTACACTATATGAAAATTATATATATATATATATATATATATATATATATATATATATATATATATATATATATATATATATATATAATTCCAATGCACACAGATTGTAGTTGCAACATGGACTACTACTCAATTCAAAAAGCATAAAATAAAATTTAAAGTCAAATTAATATATACACAAACAACTTCTACTTATTAAAATAATGTTATGAGTAGTTGGTCATTCAATTGCCTTAAGAATAAAACAAACAACATGCTTGTCTATAGTAGTATCATTAACACTAAAACTTGTATCCACACTATGACTTAAAGCTCCAATATATGTTATCTGATAAATATCAATAAATTTGATACTTGCTTTAGTCGTCCTAACATCACATCATTTTATTTTGCTCTTCCTTATAGTATTAAGAAATAGCAAAATAAAATTACATAAATCAATTCAATGTTAAAAAAATCACTTAAATAAAAGTTATAAGGTTCCAACCTCTAGGTTGTCAGCATGTTCACAACTTGAATACAAATAGCATTTTTGAAGTTTAGGTGAGAGAGATGCTTGCTCTAAATGGGTGAAAATACCAAGAGATTTTAACCTCGAAGTACCAGGAATTCTAAGTTTATAGGAACAATCACTACCTACAAAAAATGAAGAAACAACAACAACAAAAACAAAATGATGTTGTTTCTTTATACCACAATATTTACAACTACACACTAAATAAAGTTGTAGTTTAGTAGTAATCCATATTGCAACTACATTTTGTGTGTAATGTTTAGTTGCTTATGTGTTATTTTTTAGTACCACAGTTTTCTACAGGTACACACTAAACCTAGTTGTAGTTGAGTAGTAGTATGTGTGTAATGTTTAGTTGCTCATGTAGATCTCACTACTGACTAGTATTATGTTGTTCCAGTTGCAAGTCCACCCTGTCGAGCTCTGCTTTCCCTTCGTGGCCAAAAAGCGCATCCAGTGCTCACTGAACTTAATTAACAGGACAAATGGTTATGCCAACTATTGGGTTATACCGCAGTTCCCAGAGATATACTTTATTCACAAGCTCAGTTTCATTTTGGGACCAATGTCCACTGGCAGTTTAAACGTGACAATGGTGGAGCAAGAGAAACCTCCACCGGACCTGGGCATATTTAAAATACTGATGATCACCATGGGAAGCGAGAGAGAACTTAAAGATGTTGTCTCATCCATTGGCAACGAACCAAAGATTGATGGTGGTTTCCAGAAGCTAGTTGAAGAGTTGGGTGAAGAGGTGCATTCCGCAACTGTGACTGCTGTCGACTGCCAACCAAGGGAGACATCGTCTCCCCCGAAGGTGAGTTCTTTCGTTCAATATAATCTCTAGTCTATCTCATCTGTTTTAATTGATTTGGATCCGGTGACATACTATTTTGTTGTGTCAGACTGTTTCGTCGGTTTCATTTACGAGCATGGGAGCCGTAGATGTGCATCCCACAAAGCCATGGTGAGCAGATTTTGACGCTTGCTGTGTTACTCGATGTGGACAAAAAAAAAATGAGTTCGATGTATCTATCTTACACTTTTGCTCTAATTTGATCACGTAGGATTTTGGCGGGTGGTGACAACTATCTTACCATTTGGGACCACAATGAGGAGGTAATAATGGAGTAGTATATGTATGTGATTCATCTCATTTGTCAAAGCAAGGCTAATAATATAGGGCTGGAAGAATCATCACATGCAGACCATCTCTCAGCCCACACATACAGTAGTAAGCTATATTTACTATTAATATATAGCCAACTTTTCTCTCTCACAAAGTTTTTCGGTTCTTATGTCTAAGCCAGTTGTTAGCTTACAACCCGCTTCGAGCAAGTATAATAACCGGCTGTAAGCTAGCTAAATACTAATGTGGAGGAGAGAAAAAAGGAGAGAGAGGAGAAGCATGTTATAAGCTTACAGCCGGCTTAGGCATAAGAACCAAAACTTTATGAGAAAGACACGTGGGTCATGTATTAATAGTGATGAGCTAACTGCTCTATTGGTGGGCTGAGAAAAGGTTGTAAAGAACCTTACACCTAGCAAGTCGGCTGTATTATTAGTCTTGCTCTTTTCCGATCTCTCTCCTCTACCTCAGTATTCTGTCTCCTTATCCTGTTATTATACTTGCTCTCGTTATTATGTTCTTTTTTCACTGAGCTGAGATGGTTGAACCGTTTAAAAAAAAATTCATCGATCTGGCGCATTTTTATTTATTAACCACGAGTGCCTTACAAAAGACGTATGAGACACAATAACCATACTAGCTAGGCGGAGCAGTTTTAATTTATTTATTAGCTATCAGCAGGCACAATACTAATTCTTTTCATTAAAATTGCCAGGCAACAGTGTTTGCATTAGATGTGAATGAGGAAGGAAGCACGATCCCAAAACTAGGGATTGTGGCGGTTAAATTCATCCCTCGAAAGCAATGGTTTGTGACCACAGATTTTGCGGGATTTGTCCATGTCTACTCGTGTGAAACATGGCAAAAAACAAAGACGTTCAGAGCAACCAGTAGCAATTGTGTCATGTCATTGGCGATTCACCCTACCTACCCATACCTGCTATTGGCGTGTTTTGACGGCCTGTTCGAGCTCTGGAACTGGGACAAGGGCTGGACCTGTTCTCGAAAAGTTCGCTCATCCTCTCACAGTTCAACCCAAAGTTATTTCATTGTCAAGTTTAATCCAAACAACACGGAGACCTTTACGAGTGGAGACAGATACTCTGGACTGAAGGTTGGTCTTTCCTTCTCTTGTGCTAGCTAGTTTCTCTTTTTATGTTCCTCCTCTCTGTTCCAAAATAGTAAATACACTTTTAGTTATGCATTTAGACAAAGGCTTATCTAGATACATAACTAGAAGCGCGCGCTGCTCCGAAGATTACTGTCAGCATGTTCTCTATTTCCCAAAACCCATTCGTTCACCAACCCGTGGACCAGAAGGTTGCTTGCTTGGAATTGGGCTTTCTAGCTTTCTTTAGTACAATCTTTTGCAGTCTTCTACCTTGGTGGGTAGCGGAGAATCAAAGAAAGGAATAACGCTAGCTAGCGTCGATTAACTCACTTAACTAGATGCGATGTGCACAACCAAGAGGTAGGCGTGTTGCTCTCAAAGATTCACTGAGTCATGTCGTTTAGGTCAGTATCTGGTTGGTTCCTGAAATCCCGGGAGGTTCTTTTGCCGTTGTTAGTGTTGGAATTTATATGGGCTTGGCCCAATAACAAAATTCAGAAATTCATAATAAATCTCAAAGGCCCATTCATGTGTGCAAGAGGAGATGTGGGAACTCTTTAGTACCACTTTGGTTGTGGAAGTGGAGGTAGCCATACTTAAATATGGGAGTTCTCTCCACTTTCTCAAGTCTAGTGTGAGGAGAAGAAAGAGAAGCCCACATGTGCGCGCTTGCCTCGCCGGGTGGGGTGGGGCAGGACTGCATGTGTGCGCGGCACCTGCGTGAATGGGACGCTGAAATCCAGCTTTTTGGTTTCACGATTTAGATCGTGATCGCGACACGAGGTTGGTTGGACAGGACTATATATGTAGCCTACCGGCCACGCCAAAAGAACGCATCTAATTGAGCTACGGTTTTTGCCTCTACTCGTTGCTGCGCTGCTGCCGTAGCTTCTCCAGTTCGATCGTCTGCGTGCACCGGCGACCGGACGAGTAGGTCTCCGGAACCCTCGTCTTTGCGATCCTATATCGGGAGAAGGCGAATAAGGTTTTTGGGAAGCGCTCTTTGTGCGACTGCTCCCAATCTTCACGATGGGTCATCTTCCATCCAAGTCAGGCGCGGCACCTGCGTGAATGGGACGCTGAAATCCATCTTTTTGGTTTCACGATTTAGATCGTGATCGCGACACGAGGTTGGTTGGACAGGACTATATATGTAGCCTACCGGCCACGCCAAAAGAACGCATCTAATTGAGCTACGGTTTTTGCCTCTTCTCGTTGCTGCGCTGCCGCCGTAGCTTCTCTAGTTCGATCGTCTGCGTGCACCGGCGACCGGACGAGCAGGTCTCCAGAACCCTCGTCTTTGTGATCCTGTATCGGGAGAAGGTGAATAAGGTTTTTGGGAAGCGCTCTTCGTGCGACTGCTCCCAATCTTCACGACGGGTCATCTTCCATCCAAGTCAGGCTGTGCTACGTCCTGGCGTATCCGTCGTTAGCTGCTCCGAGCTCTTCCTCCGCCACTTATCGACGACTTCGACCTCGTGCCATCGTGTTTGGTGTACGAGCTATGCTTACACCAGTAATCATGTTTATGCTATGCAATATGCTGTTTGATCATGCTAGTATTCAGTACATGCTTAATCTAGTATTTCAGATTGTCATGATTTATATTTTGGTTTTAATCTGGAATTTGCCTAATTATTTAACAGTTAGGCTTTGTCTTCTGATAACTGTATTGTCTTGTAATGCTTAACGGTTGTATTTTCGTTGATCTAATGGAAATGAGCAAGGTTCCTCGGTTGGAAAAAAAAAGATACATAGCTAGAAATTTCTTTGTTATGGACCAATGAAGTATGATGAGCTGATTTAAGGTCTGTTTGATACGAGAGCTAATTGCTAGCTAGCTAAAAATTAGCTAAAATTAGTTCTAGTGCATTCAATCAGGAGAGCTAATAGGAGGGCTAATTCTTAAACCAAGTCCTCAACTAGTTGTTAGCCAACCATAACTAATATAGACTAATTTTTAGTCTCAACTAGTAACTAGCCATGTGTATCACACAGACCCTTACTCCATGTCCTAACCTGATCTGACTTTGATCTCCTACATGAAAACCCCGTTGAACAGGTATGGTCAATTAATGATCTGAATAAGCCTATCACAACCATACAACAGAATTGTAAATACATGCTCTATGACCATGTTTTCACCGAGGCTAGTCAGAACCATGTGGTTGTCGACAAAGATGGTCTAACCGTAAGTATTGCTGTGTGCATTTGTACTCGATAGCAATTGATCGACTCGAATGCTGTTTAATTCATATTTTTGGTTCTCGTGTTGAATCAGATATGGGATTTACAGACAGCGACACGTGTTCACACACTCTACGAGACTGGAAAATATTTTAATACCGCAGTAGCTTGCCACCCAACACTTCCGCTAATAGTTGCAGGTATCTATTCCAATGCTTTCCCACACCAGCCACTTGTTCGCTTCTGGAACTCCACTAATTACAGGTGCGTGTATCTCTCTCTCTCTCTCTCTCTCTCTCTCTCTCCACACAGCCACTCTGCATGGTGTATCAATCGCCATGAAAAATGTTTCTTTAGTGAGTTATGGTAGGACATAACAATTCATGTTAAATGATATATTAATACTCAATAATAGAAAATTACGGGAGTTATTATATAAAATTTGTTATATTTGAGATTTGAATATCGTATATTTACATTGATAGAACAATGTAAGCACTACAAAGTTTTTTTCAAAAAAACATAATCCGTTATTCATATACTTTGATAGAGAAAATTCGACATATCATAGTGCAAACTCAAATCATTGTCTAATAAAAATCCGTCAAAGCTTTTACCGCCTTTCTAAAAAAGAGTGCAAACTGAAATATAATGCTTCTTATGCCACTGTAGCAACAAAGAATACACAGCGTAGGACCTAAAATCTAGAATAAAAGATATAATAAGCACTACATGTGGAGGAAAACACCCTTAAAAATTCAAGCAAATATGAAATTAGGAAGCCAAAATGTGTCATGGGCACTACAAGAAGAGCTAGCCTAACTCAAGTAACTGTTACAACTAAGTACATGTCATACATGGATGACAACTATGAATGGGATGGAAAAGCATATAGATTCATTGATGATTAACTGAATTTAATCACAATGGCATAAATATTTTGGAATATCTATATGGGTATTGGATTAGAAGATAAAAACTAAGAGTGGATGCAAAGATATTTTAATTAGGTGTACTCTGCCGAGTTCATCAATGAACTTCTAGTCTCTATTTTTAGAATACTTATTAAGTTTTTAAAACTTCTAACCAGTGTAGGAGCACGAATTTGTGCAGTAACCCCCAACAATAGCAAAAAAACACCTCTAGAAATCTCAATAAACCCCCCTAAAACCATAACTTTTTACTCGTATGAAATTATAGGGTTCTCTGTTCTAAACCAAAGATAGGAGAGACATTGCAGCTCTTCGATGCTCCGCGCCATGACACCATCCACTTCTCTATCACACCACTGCTGCCCACCGGCCAGTGACCACTTGTAGCTACTGGAGGATCATTTCACTACCATACGCGGAGGATTTCTAGGGCCTAGGGGTGCCTTCTAATGGTTTGTAAGAGTTACAAATCGTTTTATAAAATCACAAATCTGGACCCAAAAATAGCAAAAAATAAATTAAATTCGGGAAAACCTCACTGAGCAGTACGAGTCACATGATAATTCGCATGAAAAACGCTCGCTACATGGCCGCGGGGGATCGAACCCACCAGGGGCGGAGCTTAGTTATGGCCAAAATGGGCCATAGCCCTCCTTGCTCACCTTAACCTCCATTAAATAAACAATATTTTCAGCACTGTTTATTGATATTCAGAGCTCAGTTACATAGATTAACCCCCTGGTTGTTCAGTCAACCTCCACCATTGGAACCCACAATCTTAGCCCTCGCGTGTTGATCCCCTGAACTCTCTAACTATAAGACACTTGTGTCCGTTTGGATGTTTGTCCTCCTCATGTTACCTTAATCTGATTTTAAAATGAGTATTTAAGATCCTAAATGAATTCAAGTGAAAAAATTATCAACTACAAAGTTGTATAACTTTTCGAGATCTACAGCTTTCCTTTTTGGTCATTTTTTCAACCAGGCTCGTTACAAAAATTTGAATTTCAAATGTGAAAAATTCAAACATATTTTTTCGTGGGTAGATGACTTCAAATGAAAATGTTGTCAACTACGAAGTTGTATGATTTTTTTGAGACCTACAACTTTTGTTGTGGTCGTTTCTCCATCCAAGGTTATTTGAATTTTTTTTTTGTAATTGTACGGTTCGACACCTATTTAAAAACAGGACCATTAGTAGAGGCGGCTGAGAATGTCAGCCGCCCCAACAAAATGCATTTCTAGAGGCACCTCTCGTTTTGGGAACTACTTTTAGAGGTGATTTTAGATTGAGTTGTCCCTAACAAAAAGAGGTGTCTCCACAGATGCTTTTTGTAGTAGTGTTTGTCGCCTTCCTTACACTGTCACTCCACGCCTAGCCACTTCATCATTAATCTGTTTAGCTTCACCCGTTACTTCCCAGAAGCTTGTTGCATGATTGCCCAGCCGCTCATCTCGCTAACCTACAACCACACTGGCCACTATTTGCCACTTTTGCCCATCTAGACATGTATCTGCCCCATCATCGTTCGCTTCATGTGTGCTCATCAACGTGTTTAATAGATTGCCTAGGGATCAACAACATATCTTGTTTAGTTAGAATACAAATTAAAAAAAAGGAATAAACAAAATAAGGTGTAGGAAATAGCGGGGCTAGTGGAGCAAACGAACAAAAACTATGGTCACGCCCTTTTCGCTTGAGCTTATCAGCCAAAATCAGCACTACTTTTCAGTCGTGGAATAGTGTTTCTCTCTCTCAACAAATCAGCATCAGCAGCAGCCACATAAACCATCAACCGAACATGGCGTTAGGGGTTGTTGGTACTCCTAAGCACTTAATTCTTGTACAGTAAGTGCATAAGGGCAGCTCCAACAATCGATTTTTAAGCTAGCTCTAAGTATTATTTTCATATTTTAATAGAAGAGAGAAAAGCTAGCTCGATCTTGATTAAAAGCTAGGCTCTTACACACATTTAAAGATAATGTGAGAGTGTTATATGGGCATAATCATACTAAGAGTCATTGCTAAAAGTTAACACTATTTAAGATGTTGGCTTAGAACTAGTAACGGGGTCTTACACTCTTACTATTGCAGGTGCCCTAATGCATATAGTTTTAACTTTTCTCTTAGAGTATTCCAAGGATTATATTTAATCCATGAAAAGTAGGCATAGAGATTAATCTAACCCAAAACATCAATTAATAAACAAGTTTGTTATGAACATGTTCTAACCTAAAGCTAGCCTAATCTAATTTGAAGTCAACTGTAAAACTAGATTGCATTTAATCATATCCTCTAATCATAAAGACATATTTAGAGATCAATTATTAGAGCTATCAACCATATGATATCATTGACACATAATGTAGTACGATACATTTATAGGTGTTTGACACATGCTTTTGTAACTGTTTTGTTCGATCTGTTGCATGTTGAATACTTGAAATGTTATTGAAGGATATACCACTAACTGTGATTAGGGCTAGACAAAAAACTCGTTGAGCTGGCTCGGTGGCTCCGTACAAAAGTGCTCTGATTGCACTCGTTTTTCTTTTAAAATGAAAATGAGTTGATTGGGAATGACTTTCGACCTCGGCTCGGCTCGTTAAGCTCAGCATGAAGTTGGGTCTCAAACAATTCAGGAGACTATGATAAATAACATTACGCTAATTTCTAAAAAAGCTCGAAAAAACTGTAGTTGGCTCGATATCCAGCCCTAACTGTGATACTTCGCGAGTTTCAGGCTTGAGAAAACTGTTAGCTGCTCATGTTTCAGCTGGATCAGATACCTTGGATTTGTGGGCTCAAGGAGGTATATAATTCACTACCTTACTATTTATGTGTACCACTAACATTATATTGCTTATTTGAATTGCATTGTCTAGTTTATACTATGTATATGAATAAAGTGATGAAGCCGAGGTACCCTAGTAAACAAGCCTTATATTAAATGGTCTTTAACGAACTACTATAGTACTTGTCAAAATCAAAAAACCCGAACTACTATAGCGAAGTATCTCAAAGCATATGTGTGTAGTTGACCCTTTTTGTTTTATGAAATTCTGAGGAAACAATAAACTCTCAATTATGGCGTGCTTCATCCGACTTGAGCGTACTGTAAGCTATAATAAGATGGTCCAGAATTAATCATTAATTTTAAAATTACTTTTTAAAGCCTGTTAGGTTGGTTTGGACAGTGGGTTTGCAATATGCAGCATTGAATTTTCTTTTGAAAAGGCCATCTGTATAGGTCATGCATACTATAAAATGAGACGTGCAAAATGTCATAGTAAGTTTGGCCATTATAATTCTGTGAAACAGAACAAGTATTGACAACCTATTTCACTTTTTTGGCATAGGAAACAGATAGCCACGTTTCTTTTGACAAAACGTTTCATTTTATTGCATGGTCACCATGATCTATTTTTCATACACTTTGAGGTCCAACAGACCAACACCAGTACACCACCGTCAAAATCCGGTACAGGATATGTCATAGGCTGACAGTTTAAAGAAGTTTGAGATCCTATATGCTGGACAGTATTATAATTTAAGGTTCGAATAAGACCATGTGCATTGCTCCCTCCATTCTTCTAAAGTAAAACATGTTTTAATTTTTTATTAAGAAAAAATCTAAAATACTGAGTAAGTTTATAGAAAAAAAAGATATCAGCATTATTTATAGCATTATTCGAATTTGGTGGGTTCCTATAAACATGGTCAAAGTTAGTGGAGCTCGGCTTAAGGAGAAAAAACATCTTACATTTAGAGGAGTAAAATACAGGGTTGGGAATAGAATATAGTTCTTAACAGTTTATTCTTTTGGCGCTTCGACTGTTAACACGGAACATCTTGACTGATTTATATTATGTAGGCTCGTGATCGGAACACATGAGAATCTAGAAATTGAAGTCCTGGAAATTGATATGGAGTCATTAGTGCGTCAGCAATAAGGACGTGCACATAGTTGGAGCTGCAGAGCAAAGCACAAGCACGAAACTGATCTACGCTTTATCATTTGCCTCCAATGTGTGCACACAGCAGTACAGCACATGTATTTGCTGCAACATGCTATGCAAAGTTGCAAAGTCAAGGGCAACTCATATGTAATATATTGACGAGGCTTTCAACATTATTTACATGTATTATGGTTGTGCGAGGCTTTCAACATTAAGTAAATGTTTGTACGAACAATATGACAACAAAGTAGAGCAAGTCTAAGCTTGTGATTTTCACTAATTTGTGTCATGGGCTGTTTTCTGATATATGTACTGTACTGCACTAACCATCCGTGTACATTTTTCGTAATGGTATTGGCTACATCCTGAAGTTCTTGTGCAACTCATATCTTTTGCTGTAACCACTATGCTTTTTTTCTCTCCCTGTCTTAAATGTAATCTTGTTTTGGAAAAGAAAAAAAATTGTATTGTATCATGTGATGTAT